TTTTTTTTTTTTTTTTTTTTTTGTGGTTTGTATTGAATTTTCTATGTATATAATTATGTCTTCTATAAGTAGGTACTATTCCACTTCCTTTTCTATTTAAATGCCTTTTATTTTACCCTTTTGTCTGATTACATTGGCAGTACAAAGGACTGCCAATACTTTGTGGAAAATGAAGAAAGTGGACAACTTTGTCTTGTTCCAGATTTCAGTGAGAAAACTTCCATCTTTTCCCCATTTGGAGTTACGTTACATATTGGTTTGTGTTATTTGGCTTTTCTTGTGTTGATTGTGTTAAGAAATATGCTTTCTTAACTATTTTGTTTAGAGTCTTAATAATGCAGAAATGTTGTATTTTATCAAATGCTTTTTCTACATCGATTGATACGATATTATGATTTTAACCTTTTATAACGGAGTGTATTACATTTATTATTTTGTGTCTGTGATGAACCATCTTTGCATTCTTGGAATAAAGCCTACTTCGTTATGATGTATAATCTTTTTAAGGTGCAGATGGATTTGATTTGGTACTTTTTTCTGTTTTTTGAAGATTTTTGTATCTGTGCTCATCAGAGGTATTGGTCTATAGTCTACAGTTTTTCCTCTGTTATGTCCTTGACTGCTGTGGTATCAAAGTGATGGAGGCTTTATAGAATGAGTTTGGGAGGGTTTCTTTCCTTGTATCTTTTGAAATAGTTTCAGGAAAATTGGCAGCAGTTCTTGTTTAAAAGTTTTGTAGAACTCAGAAATAAGCTGTCAGGACCTGAACTTTTTCTTCTTCAGAGACTATTTGCTACTGATTCAATCGCATTGCATGTTATTTGGCTCTTTAGACTTTCTATTTCTTCTTGATTCTATCTAGGTACAGTGTTTGTGTCCAGAAGTTTGTCCATCTCATTTATGCTTTTAGTTTGTTGGCATATAGTTGCTTATGGTAGTCTCTCTTCTTTTAAAAAAGAATTATTTGCCATAGGGTGGGCGCCACCACACCCTAAAAATTTATTTATTTAATTTAATTTACTTTTATTATTAACTTATTTAAACATTGCTATAGGACATGTGTGCTCACCAGAGAAAGATAGATAGATAGATAGAGAGAGAGAGAGAGAGAGAGAGAGAGAGAGAAAGAGAAAGAGAGAGAAAGAGATGGAAAGTGAGAAAGCAAGTCACTAGATCTGGGACTCAAACCTGTGGTCAGCCATGTGGGAGTTCAGCACCTTAACCACAATGCCACCTATTGGCCCATTTGCCGTATTCACTTCATCTTTTGTATTTATGTTAAATCTGTTGTAACATTACCTGTTTTATCACTGATTTTATCTATCTGGCTCTTTTTCTGATTTTCTTGGTATTTCTAGCTAATATTTGCCAATTTTTGTAATCCTCTCCAAAATCCAGGCTTTTTGTTTGATTGTTTGTATTGTCCTTTTATTGCCAATTTTATTTATTTATGGTCTGATTTTATTGCTTATTTATTTTTGGTCACACGGCATGTACACTTGCTAGAGAAAGAGAGGAAAAGTGAGAGATCACCATCTGGAGGATGGTCACGGTGCAATCCCTTCTCCTCCATTCTCCTCAATGTATTTAGGGCATGCACAAACATATGCCCTGCATGATTTTCAAGCCGTGTCTGGGAGTTGAGTCATGGTTAGCCATTTGGGAATCCAGCACCTTAACCACAGCACCATCTGCAGATCCCACATTTGTATAGTTTTAACAGTTTTGAAATCTAGGAGGTCCTACCTTCAGAACTGGAGACAAAACCTCCCAGCAGGTATAAATAGCATAACAAGTAAATAAATAAAAGTCAAGTTGATACTTTTTAAACTGTAATTTCTGATTCACATATCATCATTTTACATCTCTATGAGGTAAAATATAGATTTTTAAAGCATGTATACACTGTACAATAATAAAATCAAGGATATGAGCATGTGCATCATCTTAAACATTTAACATTATATTATATACACTCAAAAATCACTCTACTAGGTTTCTTTGGAAGTATATATCACTATGTTGCCGATGTTGTGATACATCATTCTTTTTACATGCATTGTTGTGCTTTGAGACAAATGGATGAATTTAGTAGATATAATGCTAAGTGAAATAAGTCAGGCTATAGAGGATGAATATTGTATGTCCCTACTTAATAAATATTGTGCTCACTTCAGCAGCACGTACACTAAAATTGGAACAATACAGAGAAGATTAGCATGGCCCCTGTGCAAGGATGAGAAATGAATTCATGAAGCATTCCATATTTGAATAAAATAAATAAATGAATAACAAGTGTCCTTATTCATCAACTAAAATTAAAGGACTTTATAGGATAGAAATAGTAAGAGAAATGGTAGATACTAAATGCTAGCTGCAGGGAGGTCTGGAGAAGATGAGGGCAAAATTGTCAGGTTGATGTATCAAATAATGTGTTTCACTTTATTCCCAGGTTTTTTGCATATATACACATACTATGTTGTAGGTTCATAGGCTTCAGTCATTTTTAGAAAGTTATGTTGTCAAATAATCAATTAATCAATTGTTTTATTTATTTATTTATTTAGCTAGTGGGTGCACGTGTTTACCAGAAAGTGACAGAGACAGAGGGAGATGGAGGAATCCTCCCCTCCCCCCCTCCATGGCTAATGGTCCTACTGCAATCCCTTTTATTCCACTTTTTCATCCCAGTTAGATTCAGGACACTTATGTACATGTACCCAGTATGTTTTTCAAGCTGTGGGGGCTGGGATACAATCTACTAGTTTGGCCCCATGGGATCTGGCTCTCCTACCACCAGGCCACAGGGCCGGCCTGAATCAATGATTTTCTTAATCATACCTTTCAATGATGTGAAGAGCAGAAGTGAGAGACAATGTTCATTCACTTAGTGTTTAAATTCAATAAATTTTTAGTAGTGTTTACTGGGTTCTACTAGTGCCAGGTGCCTGGGGCATGGCAATAAATAAAGCATAACCCTATAGGAAGTGATCAGAAAAAATAGAGCAGGGAATTTGAAACAGCAACCTGAGTGTCATGCTGGAGTTAAGTATAGGCTGCTGAGGGCACTCAGTGGAGGGCAAGGCTACAGTTCAGAGGAAAGATAGGTTAGGACTTTGCTCAAGGTCATAGGTTCATAATTGGTGAGGTCCATTTTCTGACTCAGGCTGTGCTAATTCCAAGACACCTGCTCCCAACCACTGGAGTGTGAGATTTAGGTTAACAAAAATTTCAGGTGATAATTGATTAATTTTTTTATATACTAGATCTACAGGAATTTAATTTGAACATATTTGATTTGAGTGTGGTTATTTCATAGAAGACACATGGAATAAACACCCAAGCTGCATTATGTTTCCAGTATGTGTCTCAGTTCCCTTTTTGGTGGCAGTGCCACAACGAAGTGTTTGAATTTATTTTGAATCCATTTCTTTTACTTATTTTATGGTTGTATTCCAAAAGCAATATATATCTTTCCTGGTATCAATGTTATTTCTGTATTTTCTTCTGTGGTCCCAAACTCATTTTTTCCTTAGGATGACATAATGATCAGAATATTTGATCGTGCATATCTTACAAGCAGAAATAAAAAGTTACTTGGAAATCACTTGTCAAATAGAGTGTATTAGTTGGCCAGCAAGTGGCATGGTGGTTAAGGCATTGGATCTCACATAACTGTGCGGTTTGAATCTGGGACCTGGTGGCATGAAAAACACTCCAGGTGTGTGTGCATGTGTGCCCCATATTCCAAGCAGAGAATGGAGAAAAGATTGCATCATGACCACACATCACAGGTAACAATATCTCACTTTCCCTCGCTACCTGTCCCTCTCTAGTGTGTGCCAACACTCTATGAAAAAATCTAAAAAGGAAAAAAAAGTATTAACTGGGCCAATATTTTCAGAGATGGTGAGGAGGAAACTACTAATCTATTACCTGGCAGAAGGTTTTAATCTTTTCTTAAGTCTCCTCATGGCTGACTTCATCTCATGGTTCCTCAGAGTGTAGATCAAGGGGGTCAGCAGAGGGGAGATGACCGTGAAGGTGACAGAGATGGCCTTATCTGTGGGGAGGGCAGTGAAGGGCCGGGCGTAGACGTAGATGCAGGGCACAAAATGCAGGGTCACCACGGTGATGTGGGAGGTGCAGGTGGAAATGGCTTTCCTCCTGCCCTCTCCTGCCTGAGACCTCACTAACAGTAATATGACCAAATAGGACACCAGGAGTAAAACAAACCATGATGTGGTGAGCATCCCATTATTGGAAATCATCAGCAGCTCAAGTACAAAAATGTCTGTGCAGGCAAGTTTGAGGACCTGGGGAACGTCACAGTAGAAAGTGTCAAGGACATTGGGCCCACAGAAGGGCAGCGGGAGCAACAGAGAAATCTGCACAATGGAGTGGACAAAACCTCCCACCCAGGCGGCCACAATGAGCCCAACACAACGGCCTCTACTCATGATGGTCACATAGTGCAGGGGCTTGGAGATGGCCACGTATCGATCCAGCGCCATCACTGACAAAGAAAATACATCCACCCCTCCAATAAGGTGGAAGAAGAACATCTGAGTGAAGCAGCCATTGAAGGAAATGGTCTTGGTCTTAGACAGAAGGTCCACCAGAACCTTGGGAGCTGTGATGGAGGAAAAGCAGATATCTGCAACAGATAAATTGCGGAGCAAAAAATACATGGGGGTGTGAAGGCAGGACTCACAGGTCACAGTGACCATGATGAGGAGGTTTCCCAGCAGAGTTATCACGTAGACCAAAAGGAGGAAAAGAAATAAGACCAAGCTCACTTCTGGATTCTGGGTCAGGCCAAGGAAAACAAATTCTTTGACCCTAGTGCAATTTTCCACCTCCATTGAATCATCCTCTCATTTTCTCTTTTGTTTAAAGCTGTGTCCTATGAGGGGAGTCCTCTCTTTATTACATTTCTTACTGAGCACCGAGAATGCAGTTCATGAGCTTCTTCACTGACAGTGTTGTTTGGAGTTTACAAAGTTGTTCACATTTTTAAGATTAAAATTATTTTGTGGTCAATTAACATAATCAAATGCAAAGTCATTCAATAATTCATTTCATATAAGATTATTTTGGGAAAGAAAGTATGTTAAGTAGTGACATTTCTACAGCATATTGTAAAATAATATTCAGTTCCTAAGGATCAGTTTGGCGCTTTGAGTAGAAATTGTCCATCATAATAAGTCTTTGTTTTTATCTGCTTTAAGAAAAAATTTCCATCTTCTTGTCATTTGTACTGCCTTGAAAGTGAAAAGGTTCTGGTTTCCCTAGAGGGAAAATAGGAAATTATTATCTGCAGGTTCTTATTTTTATTTAAATGCTCCTGGTTGTAATTATTACTATCAGTTATTTTTTACACGATGTAGAAAAACATTGTAATAAGAACTTATGGATGTTTTGAAGATCTGAAAGGTGATCTATTTTTTTCCCAAAAGAGAGAATTTCCTGCTCTAGGAGGCAGTGGTATGTAGCACTAAGGGCTCTGAACTGTGGATTGCAGCATTGTTTCCACCTTGTCCTTGTTATGTCATCAACTAGCTGAACCGTGGGGGCTCTGACACTTTCCTGTGAACTGTGTGGACTATGTTGGTTCAAGCTATCAGTGGGGAGGCGGAATCTGATCCAAGGAGGAGTTTCACTGGACTCTGAAATACTGAATGAACATGCAGACCCTCGGATCTGAATGTAGGTTCCCAAATTCAGGCTCTGCCAAAATGGAGGAACCAACAGGTGATTTTTCCCCCTACTGCCCTGCTCTTCTTCCTCTTCTCTTGTCTCCATCATTACAAGAACCGACTGTAGGTGGTCGGGAGGAGTTAATATGGAAACATGACAACCCCTACAGTCTTCACAGTCCAAGAGTTAATGTATTTTGTGAATGACTCTCTTCTGTATTGGTACGAAGAAGGGATTTTTATTTCTTCCCTTTAGATTTATTTTCTATATCTAAGGAAAGAAAGGTGAGCTCATTTCCCCACAAAACAGTGTTATGTGATCTAACTAATGAACAGATGTACTTCTGTTTTACTCTGAATCTTAATTTCATCTGCTACAGCATATACTCACTGTTTAAGCATTTAATTAATCAGAATAATTTTTTTGTATTAACTTCAGGGTGGAGGTTTTAGTGAAATAATCTAAGACGAGCTACTTACATAAAGAATGCAAACTTTCCAACCAGCTTTGTGTTTAGCCTAGATTCAACCCAACCTTCCACATCGTTGTAGCATCCTCAGTGAGCTGCACAACAGAAATTGGAACTGACTCTCTAAAGTTACATTCAGATCCATTCCTGACAATTCATCAGGGCCCAAAGAACACTCCCTTTTATTTAAGTCATGCTTTAGTTCCTCAACACATAGTTTGTGATTCTTTTAGTGTGGCTGAGATTTTCCTACTACTACCAACATGTGCACATGTATGACAAAGTTCTTAGTCTGGAGCAATGAATAATCTGATTCAATAAAATATATGTTTATATATGCCTGGGATGTGATGCTGGTACAAATATAGTGTTATGAAGTATAGCAAAGGGGCTAATTTGATACAGTTTCCCAGAGGAAGTAAAGATTTTATACAGTCTTAATGGATTTTCAGGAGTCAGAAGGGATAGACCATGTAAAGGAAACAACTCACAACAGGCCAGTCAGTGGTGAAAATGATATACATGTACTAAGAACATTGGTAAACATAGTGTGATTGGCATAGAATAGGGGGATCTGTGGAATGGAAGGATTTTTTTTAATTTTTAAAATTATTTTTTAAATAGAGACATTTGCTATAGAGCATGTGCACTTTCCAGAGAGACAGAAAGTGAGAAGTCATCCCCCAGCGGGGATGACCATGATGCAATATCTTCTCCTCTATTGTCCTTTTGGGATTTTGGGCACGCACGCACACGTACCCAGTGTGAATTTTAAGCCACCAGGTCTGGGACTCGAACCATGATCAACTATGTTGGAGCCCAGCAATGTAACCATTAAGCCATATGCTGGTCCCAGAAGAAAATTTTTTATCAGGTATATAAACATTCTTACTTCTTTTTTTCCCCCAAGCATTTTATATATGTATATATATATATATATGTATGTATATATGTACATAGCCATTACGCTAACTGCTAGTCCCCCAAGCATTTCGCTATAGGGAGCATGCGTTCGCCAGACAGACAGGAGACATAGAGACAGAAAGCGAAAAATCACCCCCCAGGGGGATGGTCATGCTGCAATCCCTCCTCCTTCATTCTCCTCCTGGGATCTTGGGCACACACGCACACGCGCCCGGTGTGAGTTTTAAGCCACCGGGTCCAGGATGCGAACCGCGGTCGACTACGTGGGAGTCCAGCAACATAGCCATTATGCTAACTGCTGGTCCCAAGTAAAATAATTCTTTAAAAAATACTTGTTGGGGGGACCAGCAGTTAGCATAATGGCTATGTCGCTGGACTCCCACGTAGTCGACTGCGGTTCGCATCCTGGACCCGGTGGCTTAAAACTCACGCGGGGCGAGTGTGCATGCGTGCCCAAGATCCCAGGAGGAGAATGGAGGAGGACGGATTGCAGCATAGCCATCCCCTTGGTGGGCGATTTCTCGCTTTCAGTCTCTCTGTCTGTCTGGTGAGTGCACGCACCCTATAGCAAAAACCTCTCCAAAAAAAAAAAAAAAGAATTATTTTACTTTTTAACATTTATTTATTTATTTATTTTAATTTGACCAGAGAGGAACAGAGAAAGAGAGAGCAAGAGGGAAAAGAAAGCAAGCTGCCAGGTCCGTGACTCGAATGGACTGCCATTAGCCATGTGGGACTCCAGTGCCCTTACCCACTATGCCATCTTCCGGCCGTATATTCTTACGTCTTTATTAACGGTTTTACTAGTCTATTCAATGATTTTTAGGTATCGTTTGTTTGTTTGGTGAATGACTGAATTGACTCTCCTTACCTCCTAGTTCTCATATTCAGGATTGTAAATTTTAATGTATCTCTCCATGGAGGGTGTAGGTAATATCCTTTGAGTTCTTTACTCTCAGCTCAGATCTCTGTATCTGGTGTGACATGACATGGGGTATTCTGTAAAATGGTGATGGAAAGTTGTGGCTCTTGCTTGCGTATGGGGACTGAAAAACATAGTGACCCCTCCTGGGAGGTGATCCACACTGGATCAACTACACTTTCCTCTCTCTATCTTTTTTGGATGAAAGCTAAGAGGGTGGTGTGATTACACAGCAGTTGGAGGAATCATGAGGACAATGCCTACCTGTATTTTATAAGCTGTTACCAATCATCCTTGAAAAAATGTTAAATTATCATTACTTGCTTACTTTATATATAACCAGTTTACGTTTATTGGAATCTTCAAATGTATATGATAACTTGGGCCATGTTGCCATACAGTTTACAGCCTAAAGTAATGTATTTGTGCAAATTGATAAGCATCATGTATATTGAAAGTGAGCCATATAATGAGAGTAAAGGGAGATTTAGGGGGGGCAGAAGATGTGATAGGAGATTTAATGATTTCTAGTAGTAACAAAAATTTCCACTTCAAGAAGTACTTATTATTAGTGATATATTAAGTTGATTAAGTTAATTCTCACCACCATCTAGTAGCTAAATGTCAGTGTTATTACAGTGTTATGATTTGAAGTCCAATTCTCTTTCAGTTTTTTTAAAACCTAACTAAAACGCATATGGCATACATGAGCCTAGAAAACTGAGAAAACTGTATTCTTCAAATCTCAGTATTATGAAATTCTTACGGAACTATAGTTAAGGAGACAGATTTTCTTTATTGAATCTAAAGAATTTGGACATCAACCAAAATGTCTCATACAAACAATGTTATTGTTTTTGTATGAGATATGCTATGATTCAGTGTTCAGTTGAAGGAAAAGATGTATAAAATACAAGAGATGAAACTAGGATGGAAGAAAGGGTTCTCTCTCTCTCTGTGTGTGTTTGTGTGTGTAAGTGTTCTATCGGGTCTAAATTTGTATAACAAGAGTGTTTACAAAATCAGTCAGAAGATACACATTTGGCAGGAAGAAGAAATTTCCATTAACCTTAAGTGATCTCACAAATTAACATTCAATGGTTCTTAGCAAATAGATGTCTTCTCCAACAGTGAAAGGATCCCATTTCTGCATTTCTCTTAACACAATGACCGTAATTCTCAGTAATTAAGACCTACCTTTGTTGTTTCTGTTGCTGAGATGATCATCTTGATTCTGAAGGATTTAATATCCCTGGAAGATACTCAGAGTCGCATTATTTGTATACAGTCAGTAATGACATTTCAATTTCAGTATACCTAACCTTTACTTTAGCTAGTAGTTTAGTATCTTTACCAAGTTGTGTTGGTCTTGAAACAAATGAAGATTGTGTGCTGTTAGGAACAATATATAACAGAAGATTGGTGACATTACTTCTTGAAAATTTTGTTTCCAAAGGTAAAGTCCTTTGGAGAACTCAAATATTTTAGAGTCCTTGCTCCATTTTCAGAAGAGAGGAAAAATATCACATCTTTAAGGTCCTCTCACTGTCACCATTTTATATCCAAATCCTCCAGCCTTAGGCTTAATGTAAGAACTGCAGAAGGAATATTATTGGACAAGGACTGGAAACAAGTGTCTAATTCCATTGTTGGTGATGCAGTCTCAATGGGAGTTATTAAAATGTTATGAAGTCATGCCCATATGTACACATTCACACATGTGGACATTTTGGTTGGTGTCCAAATTCTTCAGGTCCAATAAAGGAAATCTGTCTCCTTAACTATAGTTCAATCAGAATTCTGTAATATTGAGATTTGAAGAATGCAATTTTCTCAGTTTTCTAGGCTAA